TTTCTAATGGTCCGTCCCTAACTTGCTGGATGTCGTCGTCTGGAACAAATAGTACCTCATATGAATGTTCAACACAGCCATCCGTTTCGGAGTCATCTGAATCCAAATCAGAGTTGTTTTCGGAAGTACTTGTGTGAGAATCAGAGTCGTATTCGGAATCACTGGATAGGAGTTCTGTGTCACTGTCATTGGCACTATTTCTTTCGTTGTTTCGTATTACAGTATTCGAGAAATCAAAAGCACGTGCTACCAGCGCAGCTTTACTTCCAGATACATGAAGATTGTTCTGCTTAAGGTCAGCGGATCTTAATTTGTTTTGCTGTGAGGGATTTGACTTCAGCAAATCGATTCAGTCGATGAAGAAACGTTACTTTTATTCACATCAAAAACCGACAAAGCTTGTCTACGAGATCTGTTTGATTTCCATTGTTTTATGGGGGAAGCTGAAAAACAAGTTCATGATTTTTCTTTACATAGGATCAGCTCAAGACGGGTTAAAATTTGATGGAATATTTTCAATAATCGTTTAACAGCTGTTCGTATTGATATTTGTTACAGTCTATCATGATGCCTGTATTGAGAATCTTTTATTGAGTTTAATTTTATTTACATTTCGAATAAAACTTAAGGCCCCCCCTCCGTCAAATGAGTGATTTTACTTTGAGCCCCCCCTATCTTGGCAGCAATTTTATGTAATGCCCGCCCCTCTAGTTTTTCAGCCCCCTCTCCAGATAATTATTGCACAGTCCCTAATATCAACCGAGCAATATGTTTTGAGTATTCTTGCATCGATGGTATATTGCTCGCATCTGCCAAAAAAAGGTAAGCTTCATTTGCCCATGCGGGCCGTTGTCACTGCCGTCCCGTGGTCTTTGCCAGTGTTTGCTAAATCTGCCTATTTGCCTATACATTTGCCTACTAACGTGTACTCGAGAAATTTTGAACAGGTTTTGTTTTATATAAATTCACTGTTTATAGTAAGTGACATTTATGACAGAACAATTTTTATCATCATTAGGGTCGTGGCTTTTGTTGATGGTTATTAAGTGCTGGTGCGCATGCGAATACCAAATGACGCTATACAATAGAACTCAACGAATGCTCAAACAATAACAAAATATCTACCAAAAAACGCTTTTACACCAAAAAACACTCATATTTAGATAAAACGATGTTAACGTGGCATTTAAGTACGGCAAGTTTTATTTCTGTTCAAACTGCCCATTAAGCGAAATTCACTTGCCTCTTGTAAAAAAGTCGCGACAGATGTATTAAACTTTAACTTGTCTTTTAATTATACATACTGAATATTGTTAAGAAACACTTTTTTCAACAAAGTATGTGCTAATTATACACAAGGCTAAATAAATAGATGTAGAACGCAATTTATACGTAGATTTTATTCAAATTCAACTCAATTGTTCTAATCTTCATCCATTTGTTGAGGAAATCTTCACCATAAAATAATTTTCAGCTCGGAGTCGAAAAATATTATCGCAACTGGAAGTTTACCGTAAGAGTTGAAATTTTACGGATCGCTCCTCTGTTTTGATCAGTTCGCAAAGGTCGTATCAGTCGCGTGAGTATTGAAGTCAAAGCCACGTGTTACGCTTTGTTGAAAATCTCAACTGACATCAAAATGCCGGCTTGGCGAGAGGCATTAGCTTCCCGGAAACTGAATCCTTGTTTTACTCTGATAATTTTCTCGTTTATGGTGTCTTTTACGTTATCGATAATGGATTTGACTTTGAGGATAAACATTCTCCATTTGCCAGTGCTTGTTATGTGGCTTATAACATTGTGTTCCGTTCTTTTAACCGTTGTTTTCTGGTATTGTCATTCTTCTATTTCATCAGTTCTCAAACGACCCCGAAATCAGCGACCGCCGCCGTCACCTGTTGAACGCGACAGAGACCTTGGGAGAAGTCAAGAGGCTGTTGCATCAAAACTGGAACTTCCAAGAAAAACGGAGAACTCAAGTTTGCTACGTAAATGAAAAGAGATGCTAAACATTACGACGATGAATGGCTATTGCACAGCCGTACGGTGGATTAGACGACACTGATCTACTGTTGTAAAGCGACATGAAACTGATGAAATTTTAGAGCGTGTTTCAGCTCGACACTGAAACTAATTTTTCCTGGAAGTGGTCCGACTAACTGATGACTATGAAAAAGGAAAAGCACGAATCAAAAATGCGACAGCGAATGTTCAATATTACCTCGTCTCTGTTTTTTTTGTGTCAAACTTACATTGTAAACCAAAAACAAAGTTCGGCATCAACAGAAAATAAAGAACAAGCAAGAAAGCAACGGGCTCAACTCGGAGTTGGCTTAAATTAACGCTGTGTCATCACATATCAAGTCAAGATACTTCAAAAGGAACAAATTTTATAGAGGAGAATAAACGGCGCCAGTTTTCTTTCTCTTGCAGCCGTGGCAAAGTTGCGAATTGAAGAGGAACCAGCGTGGTGCAGGGCCACGTCGTGTGATCAGTATGATCAGACGTCAACACGTATTAAGTACACTACTCTTTTTTTCTATAAGAATATATTTTATAAGAATATCTAGGCTGAAATTTGCGAAATTTTAAGAATATTTTAAGAATGAGCCCGAGGCTGAGAGTTTGAATTGGAGGACACCATTTTAGTGTTTGAAAATCCGTAAATACAGTACAATTATGTGTTTTTCACTTAACCTTAGAAAATTATTCCTTTCACTAAACGCCAAGAGCACTGCTAATTGAACCCCNAGAACAATTTTTATCATCATTAGGGTCGTGGCTTTTGTTGATGGTTTTTAAGTGCTGGTGCGCATGCGAATACCAAATGACGCTATACAATAGAACTCAACGAATGCTCAAACAATAACAAAATATCTACCAAAAAACGCTTTTACACCAAAAAACACTCATATTTAGATAAAACGATGTTAACGTGGCATTTAAGTACGGCAAGTTTTATTTCTGTTCAAACTGCCCATTAAGCGAAATTCACTTGCCTCTTGTAAAAAAGTCGCGACAGATGTATTAAACTTTAACTTGTCTTTTAATTATACATACTGAATATTGTTAAGAAACACTTTTTTCAACAAAGTACGTGCTAATTATACACAAGGCTAAATAAATAGATGTAGAACGCAATTTATACGTAGATTTTATTCAAATTCAACTCAATTGTTCTAATCTTCATCCATTTGTTGAGGAAATCTTCACCATAAAATAATTTTCAGCTCGGAGTCGAAAAATATTATCGCAACTGGAAGTTTACCGTAAGAGTTGAAATTTTACGGATCGCTCCTCTGTTTTGATCAGTTCGCAAAGGTCGTATCAGTCGCGTGAGTATTGAAGTCAAAGCCACGTGTTACGCTTTGTTGAAAATCTCAACTGACATCAAAATGCCGGCTTGGCGAGAGGCATTAGCTTCCCGGAAACTGAATCCTTGTTTTACTCTGATAATTTTCTCGTTTATGGTGTCTTTTACGTTATCGATAATGGATTTGACTTTGAGGATAAACATTCTCCATTTGCCAGTGCTTGTTATGTGGCTTATAACATTGTGTTCCGTTCTTTTAACCGTTGTTTTCTGGTATTGTCATTCTTCGATTTCATCAGTTCTCAAACGACCCCGAAATCAGCGACCGCCGCCGTCACCTGTTGAACGCGACAGAGACCTTGGGAGAAGTCAAGAGGCTGTTGCATCAAAACTGGAACTTCCAAGAAAAACGGAGAACTCAAGTTTGCTACGTAAATGAAAAGAGATGCTAAACATTACGACGATGAATGGCTATTGCACAGCCGTACGGTGGATTAGACGACACTGATCTACTGTTGTAAAGCGACATGAAACTGATGAAATTTTAGAAGGTGTTTCAGCTCGACACTGAAACTAATTTTTCCTGGAAGTGGTCCGACTAACTGATGACTATGAAAAAGGAAAAGCACGAATCAAAAATGCGACAGCGAATGTTCAATATTACCTCGTCTCTGTTTTTTTTGTGTCAAACTTACATTGTAAACCAAAAACAAAGTTCGGCATCAACAGAAAATAAAGAACAAGCAAGAAAGCAACGGGCTCAACTCGGAGTTGGCTTAAATTAACGCTGTGTCATCACATATCAAGTCAAGATACTTCAAAAGGAACAAATTTTATAGAGGAGAATAAACGGCGCCAGTTTTCTTTCTCTTGCAGCCGTGGCAAAGTTGCGAATTGAAGAGGAACCAGCGTGGTGCAGGGCCACGTCGTGTGATCAGTATGATCAGACGTCAACACGTATTAAGTACACTACTCTTTTTTTCTATAAGAATATATTTTATAAGAATATCTAGGCTGAAATTTGCGAAATTTTAAGAATATTTTAAGAATGAGCCCGAGGCTGAGAGTTTGAATTGGAGGACACCATTTTAGTGTTTGAAAATCCGTAAATACAGTACAATTATGTGTTTTTCACTTAACCTTAGAAAATTATTCCTTTCACTAAACGCCAAGAGCACTGCTAATTGAACCCCAATACATTATAAAGCGGAAATCTCATGAATAATTCAAGAATATTTTCAACAACCTAGCCTGGGCCTGAAAGACAACATTCTTTTATAAAAAAGAGTGTATGGCACACTATGTAGCCGCAGGCTAAGTCAGATAGGCTCCATTACCAGCCGCTGTTCGGGAAAATGAGCCCGCACTCGGAAATCGAGCCTACAAGCTAGTCAGATAGACCATGACGCCCTAGCTGCGCTTAAATTTTGAACAGTGTCACGGGTTTTATTAAAATTCCCCTTCCGAGGAATGTGTAAAGGCCAACGGCTTAACGTCACCTTCCAATTAGCGCGATCAAGACTAAACTGAGAAAAGGGATATATACTAGTGCCAAAGGTTACGGAGTGCGGGCGACATCGATCGAAGGTCAAACGCTTTTTGCGCAAGCGCTGTGGTTTGCGTAAGTTTCACGTGATAGACGGTCAAAACTGACGCGTGATTAAATTACGAGAGATAGAAGGTCCAAACGCGCGTGACTACATTAGCGTTCGCTGCATTTCATTCATTCTTAGTGGGAGTCCAAACAAAGCTGGCTACATACATGCGACGGCCTGATGCGTAATGACAACCTGGAGATTGGGATTGTAGGCTCCTCTTGTCGCCCGTAATTAATTGACAGCTAGCATTCTCTCACCAGCTTCCTATTAAAAGACCTTGGTTGGTTTATTAAATTGATTTTACTTATTTGCACTAAGTCTGTGTAATAACTACTAGTCATGTGCCCACTTGTGTCGTTTTGGAATTTTTAAATGAAATTAGTACTTTATCGATCCATTTTAAAATACTCGGAGCCTTTCTTATGGTTGGTTTGTTAAAGAAAATATTGTCACATAACATCACCAGGTTCAAGTTACTCCTGGATTTATTGCTTGTGTCTTCACCGAACTTCTCCTAGTTTGTCAAAAGTTTGAGAGAATAGAGCTTTCCACGGTTTTTTAGTCAACTTTTGACCAAGGTAGGGAAAATCCGTCGAACTTCGCATGAAAGAGCATCATTTTTTAGATTAGTAAAATTGCCAAGTGTGAAGCCTCACCAAATCGCTGGGTTTGAATGTCCGCAGGTTGAAGTAACATGTGAATTATAAGGAACAAACATCGAAAGAAGGGGATGGGTGGGGAGTTAGTCAAAAATTGTTCCTGCACCCCTCCATCAGGACAGCTGAAGAAGACGCGAGACAGCTAGAATAAAAGACAAATTGGGGAGATTTATTTATTTCCATTATCATCATTATTGTTATCATTACCACAACTGTCATTAACTTTGGCGTATAATATATTTATAACCTGTTTTTGACCACAGCAGGGCATACTAGAACTTTTAAGTTCTAAAAGATGGTCCGAATGACTGATCATTTTTGAAAACTTGCACTAAATTCTTTCCTCTTTTCATGACTATTTATATAAATAGTATAGTAAAAAGTCTATTAGGTTTTACCGAAGGTTAGAGTGGACTCAAAAGTGCGTGGGTCGTTGGTATGGAAATGGCATTTTCTTTTTGAATGTGTCAATACTACAATTATGGGCGCCGGTCAAATTTTTGACTGTTGCCTCTTAAATCTGATCTCTATTTTGGCGTCCTAATTTATTCGAGACAACCCAGCCACCCCAGTCGACCCCGTTATGGTAGTCATACTAGTCACCCAAGTAATCACAGTCATCCCGGAATCCAAGCTATTCAAGTCATCCCGGAAATAACAAATTCCAGCACTGAAGCACACACTATCAACTTCGCCTAATGACCTATACCGTACGCACCACCGTACCACCCAGGCAGTGGCAGTCATAAACAGCGTTACTTGATCCTCATTAGGACTCATTAGCAAGCCATAGCTCCAGGCGTGAGTTGCGAGTGCCAAAACACTGCTTTTAGCGTTAGCTCTACCGTACGCATGTGGTATCTGTTGGCTGGGAATCTCAAAACAGGGCTGCAACTGGTATCATCTCAGGTATCCCAGCAGTAGTCACCCTAGTCAACCCAGTCATCTCAATCACCCCTGTTATAGCAGTCATATCAGCCATCCCAGTCACCATTGTCATCCCAGCTATCCTAGTCATTCCAGTCATCCAAGTCACCCCAGTTATCCTAGTCATCCCAGTCAATCCAGTTATCCTAGTCATCCCAGTCAACCCAGCTATCCTAGTCATTCCAGTCATCCAAGTCACCCCAGTTATCCTAGTCATCCCAGTCAATCCAGTTATCCTAGTCATCCCAGTCAACCCAGCTATCCTAGTCATCCCAAGTCGTCCTAGTCGCCTTAGTCAGCACAGGCACGCCATTCGCCCCTGTTGTGGCAGTCATACCCGTCATTCAAGTCATCACAGCCATCTTGGTCATCCAAGCCATGCAAATGATCCCAGGTATAACTAATTACACATTTGCAATAAGGTATGACCTGTACCTTAAACATGCGCCCCTTATATCACCTAGGCAGTAGCAGCCATAAACAGTTACTTCGTCCTCATTAGAACTCATCAGCATGGCATAACCCCATTTCAGTCAACCATGTCATCTCAGTCATTCCATTCATATAAATCTTCTTAGTGATTCCAGTCTTCACACTCACCCTAGTCATCCACGTTATCCCAGTCATTCTAGTTATCCTAGTCATCCTAGTCACCCCAGCCATCCTGGTCATCCCAGTCATCCATGTCATCCCATACATCCCAGTCATCCAAGTCATTCCACTCACCTAGTCATACTAGGCATCCCTGTCATCCAAATTATCCTAGTCAATCACTGCCGTCATACCAGTCATTCCGGTCTTCATAGTCATTCCAGCCATCACACTTATCCCGTTTATCTCAGTCATCCAAGTCTTCAACGTCATCACTAGTCATCCTAGTCTTCCATAGTAATCTCAGCCTTATCATCCTAGTCATCTCTGTCATCCCAGTCATTCTAGTCACTCTAGTTATTCCAGTCACCCAAGTCATCTTTGATATAATAATCATCCCAATCATCCAAGTCATCCCAGTCAACCCCGTAACCCTTTTTAGCCGCCGTTGAAGATTTGTGTTGCAAACCAAAATATCTGGCAAATATAATTTACCATTTGATTTTTGTTTACCTTTCTTTCTTTTTTTCTCCACTCTTCCTGTCGTAAGGATCGGCTTACTGTTTTATAATTTAGCTTTGAAGATTTTAGTGATTCAGGTTCTACTCTGACCTCACTGATTTGTTGCTGTGGTTTTGCCTTCAAAAGTGTTTTTCATCCTAGTAATCTCTGTCATCCAAGTGATCCTAGTCATTCCACTCATCCAAAATTAAGTCATTCCTAGTTATCCTGGTCATCCCTTTTATCCCAGTCATCCCATTCATACCAATCATCCCAGTTATCCCTAGTCATTCAGTTATTCCAAGTCATCCAAGTCATCCCAGTTACCCCTTGATCCCAGTCAACACCAGTCATCACAGTCATCCCAGTTGTCGCAGCTTTTCCAGTCATTTCAGTTATCCCTTTCATTTTAGTCACCCCTAGTCATCCCAGTCATCCTTAGTCATCCCCGTCCCAGTCATCCCTATCCATCTCAATTATCCCTAGTCACTCAAGTTATCCCGGTTTCCCATTGACCCCAGTCAACCCTAGTCATCACAGTCATCCCAGTCATTGCAGTTTTTCCGTGCAGTCATTTCATTTGTCCCTGTCATCTCAGTCATCCTTAGTCATACAAGTCATCGTAGTCATCCCAGCCGTACCAGTCATGCACGTCATCCCAGTCATCTCGTTTACCCTAGTCATCCTAATCATGTTGGTCACCCTATAATAGTCATCCTAGTTATCCCAGTCTACCCTGTTATCCCAGTCAACCATGTCATTCCAGTCGTTCGCTGCCATCCCACTCAGCGTAGTCATCCTCTTCACCACAGTCACCCGGCTCAATCACTGTAGTCAGCCTTAGAGTCAACCTGGTCATCATAGTCTCCTTAGTCTCCTTAGTAACTATGGTCAGTTCAGTCTTCCTAGATAGTCATCCATGTCGTCCGCGCTCGTTACCATTTCAGCTTGCTATCTGCGTGTTGTTTAAGATAAAAATACTTTAAAGAAACAAGGTGAGTTAAATCACTGTAAACAAACGAGATTGTTATTTTTAAAAAATGACTTTTCATTTTTGCGTTTCTTTTTTTCTTTTCGTTTTCCCTTTTTTCTTTAACAAAAAAGGATATCTCAAAGAAAGATTGAATCTTTTCTCAGCTGTATTTTTCTTGCTTGAGAGGGGTATCCTATCTTAAGTAAGTTCTAGTAATCTCTCTCATGTCATTTGCAGAGTCCTTTATAATGTGCGACGTATACATATCATTACACGAGAGGCTCCCGACAAAGTTTCACGAGAGGCTCCCAAACTTCGTCGGGAGCCTCTCGTGTATAATGAATATGGTATATGACCAAGCCCACCATTTTTAGCGTTTTCGGTGGTTGAAATGTCTGATGTCATGAGAATTTCTATTTTTTTTTCAAGGAAAAATTAGACACAAATGTTCTCCAGTGAAAACAAGTCTCAATGATTTTTTGTTAGCACTGTGCAGGTGGTAGAAATACTGTGTGAACAGCCTGCTTGAGTTAGTGACATCCCCTGACCAGGGATCTAAATGAAAGAAAAAATGTTTTTGAGTCAGGTGGCTTTTCATAGCAGTTTAAGAGCTCTTGGGGTCATACTGCTACAGATGCTGCTACAAAGTGCGTTCTTACCTATTTCGCTTTTTTTTCGCTATTTTAGATCTAAGAATCCTACCATCAAAAAAGAACATTGAAGGGCCAATTAACAGCTTGATATTTATTTATAACAACTTGATAACACACTTTAACTGAGCAAAGATCTTTTCATTCAACCCCCACACGTAATTGCATTTCCATCTTTCAAGTGACGGAAACATTCTGAATGAAATTCACTTTTGTATTCAATGGCCCATTTCAAGATATTCAGATAACACTCAGATGGTAAAATATTTACTCAAGTTGCCAGACAAATTGAGCTTAGGGATATAAAGAACTAATTTGCCATTGGAGCTCCTAAATACTGAAGCTACCCTGAGATGAAGGCCTTGTGGTTTCTGTTCCTGCTTCCTTTAGTGGGGGCTCAAATTGGGTCACATCGACCAGAAGGTATAATGTACAGTCCTTTATTGTTCTTGTATGGCTACATTGTGAAAAAGGCATGTACGGCAAATTAATTATTAATTTTTACAGCAAATGTGTTGGCTATAGTCGTGATATATTGAGCACACTTATATTCAAAGTAGAAAGACTGCAAATTATATTAGTTGCTAAAAAATATATATCTACGTGTCGCAACTGTTCATCTGTAGGATGTCTAAAATGCGTGCAATTCCACAGTTGGTATAACTAATATATTTAGCGTCAAATACTTACCTCACGCTTGAGAGCAAAAGATAAAAGAGAATACCACTTACAGCACTTGTTTCAAAATTGAGTTAATTGTTAGGTAACAATTCGCCTATGTCGCACCTTTCTGAGTTGATTTAAGTGGTGTTTTCCTTTATTGCAAGAAAAACCTCAAGATCTCAACAACCTAAAAGAGTTAAAACTCTCGCTACAAGTTCAGACCGCGGCACCAACTTAAGGTACACAGAGGTTTTTCAATAACAGGTTTTCCCTTAGCTACCGGCTTGAAGCTGGCCAGTGGGTAACTGGCTGTTTCAGAGAAGTTTCAGTTCAGCGCGATCTCGTTTAAGCGCGCTATAAGCTAGGGTTTCTTGGTTATCATTCAGCAAAGATAAAGTGATTGACGTGTGTTTTAACTCTGATCAGCTGGTACTGAAAGTCAATTTTCAGTGGTCACAAAATTAGAAGAAAAAACTTGGCAAGAGCAATATGCACTTTGTTGAGTGTCAATGTATTAGCAGGAAAGTACTAGCTGAGGACACTTTTTTGTGTCTCCTACTGGAGACGATCCATGTTGTTAGCTTTTCGACTAGTTGTAGGCCTGGCTTACTTTCTTTTCCACATATCCTGAAAATTACACGCATGACTAGTACGCACTGACCTCACCAACACTTCGAGCTCTTAAGCTTTTTAGCTCACCTTCAACAACGCATAATTGAATACAAGCCGTAGAGTGATCAAACCAAACATTTGTAGGCCCGGGCCTACAGGTCTGTAGGCGGGCTACGCCCCTAGGAAACACGCGAAAGTCTAACCGTTTGCAGGGCAAAGTAATTATTTTCATTTCTCAGTTATTTTAAGGCCCCCAGTATTGGTCCGGCCCCGGGAATCCAACCCTGAAACCTCCCGCTCTGCAGTCAAGCGCTATACCGAATGAGCTAATCCTGCCGCGGTCAATATGAGCGCAATGTTGTTTCCCTATTTCAGAGAATGTTGGTATCGATGACCCAAAGTTATTTGAAGGTGATATGATCCTTACGGATGCTCAGCGAATCGCAGCCATGCTCGGTGATGACGTCAGCAAAGCGGGATTAGGCAGAGCGTCTATTCGTAAGAATCTGTGGCCTGGGGCAGTACTTATCTATCAGCTGGATCCAGCCATAGGTATATATGAATCAACGTATTCCCCTATGGACGAAGACCTTACATTAGATAAGGATTAGATTAATCGTTTATTGATTGAAACACTCGGCGTTCGATAAACTGAATTACCCGTAAGGTATAAAGAATGGTAAACGATTTTCAAAAAGATGGGAAAAAAAAAAAAAGAAAAACAGGAAAAAATATGCTAATAGAAATACAATATAGTTCCATAAGCCGGTCTTGCTCTAAAACACGTCCGTCAAGTCAACCTCTTGTCTACGTATTGCAGTGGCTGATAATCAAAGAGTTCTTACATCTGTTCGTTCTGCAAATAGGGGCGTTGACGACACAAAAGTTTTGTGACAAAGTGTGCTGATTGGTTCTTGGAAGAAAAAGGCGTTAACTTGTGGTCGTTGTTGCTCACTATTTTCTTGAATAAGTCAGATGACAGATTTTCTGGCCTCACCTGACTACTAAGGTGGGGATGCCGGCTGCTTTAGGTGCATCCCCTTAAGCTAAGCTGAGGGAATATAATCCTCAAAGCGGGCCACTGTATCTTTTATACAGTATAATTATTAATTAAACACTTTTTCTCTTCATAACACCTTTCAAAATAATCACGTACAAAAATAGGATTACTACTGACCTATAGAGCTCTCAATAACTTTAACGCTTTTAATCCACGGTACCACAATGTTGCAATTACATCTTCTATAACTGCATTAATTTTGTAAATGGAGTTGGCAATTTTTTTCCCTCAGAACGAGATTCAAGAGCAATGGCAGCTATCAATAAAGCGATGGAATTATGGAGAACCCAAACTTGTGTGCGGTTCAAGAAAAGAACAAACGAAAATGCCTACGTATACGTTCACATTGGCAGTGGGTAGGCTGTATATCACTTTGATGCTTTTATCCACTTTTTAAAGTGCCTTAAATGTAAAATTTCTGTCGATCCTTTCTTAGGGAAAAAATTATCCAACAAAGCTTGCTATTAAGAAAACGTCCAAGTAAAAAGCAAAACAAGACAAAACAATAAACAGCAAACAAAAGTAAGACTTCTGGTTGTCCAAATATTTTTCGATTTTATCGTGAAATTGTCATCAGCGTAATCTAAAATTAATGCTTAAGAACTTATCTGTCTTTCGCTATAACTTTAGAACTGAGAAACAAGGCTATTATAAAAATGAATTGACTTTGTTATTTCATAATGAAATAATGACCAGCATGACTTTAGATGTTTGGATCTGCTGAATTCAGAATAACGCGTAAGTTTTTTAATTTTTCAGTTGTACTTCGTATGTGGGCAAAACTGGACAAAGGCAAATGTTATCCCTCGCAAGAGGTTGCTGGTACACAGCCACAGTTGCACATGAATTCGGTATGTTATGCAAACTAACTTGCATCCGTACACTCATAGTAATACAAAATGTCTTGAATCTGATTGGCAGAGAGCAATGCAGTTAAAAATAAGCACAGTGAAAAAAAAAAAAGGAAATATAAAAAAATTCGCCTTAATTTAAGTCGCTTTAATTAATTTTTGTAAACGCTAATTTTCGCGCCGTTAACTAAATCAGTGGAGCGTTTATTACTGCAACGTTAATTTCCTCTATTCTGGCCCTTAATTCTCCATACACTTCTGACACTCTTAACAGCTAATAAAGAGGGGTATTTTATCAGGCTGGAAGTCCGCCAGAAACAGTGTAACTGCGAAGAACCCTCGAAGTGGCCAGATTTCTTCGCTTGTCTCCCCTCGTACGTTTACAAAGTGTACATTTCGGATTATACGTCTTACTTTGTTCATGTCGCCTTAACAAGTTTTTTTTTTAAATTTCCTTTTTTTCAAAGTCGTTTTTTATACGGAGCGTTAATTTCCTATAATAAGGCAATACAATCACAAAGCTATAAAATGCAAATGTCTCGGAGAATGAAGCTCTGTGATTGGATAATAAACGATAGAAAGACATAAGAACCAATCAGGTGCCGCAATGAGAGTCCACCATTTCGGGATGATGGGCTCATGTTTCGTAGGGCTCAATGGCGGGCCTTCAGGATGAGGTTATTACTCGAACACTGAACTGACCACTTGAATATTATTGTTCTTTTTTCAGGTCATGCCTTGGGATTCTACCATGAACAGTCTCGTCCTGATCACGACGATTATGTAATAATTAACTGGAATAACATACAACAAGGTTGGTACTAATTCTGGCACATAATTTCCACAGAAAATTTTTAGCATACGCATTACAGTAATTAAAGACAGAACGCTTTATAGCTTTCTGTAAGCTTCAAAGATTTACTGATACTATGATGTTTTTTGATCGTTTTGAAGACGGTTTATCCATTTTAATTCAAAAAGCAACCGCTTCAAACTCGTAAGAACCTTTTTCTCTAACGAAAGAGAAAGGAAATAATAACTTTTTTCGTGGGAATTTGTAGTCGTCAGTTCTTTCATTACGCAAAGCCTCCTTTAGGGAGGTCGAGCGTTGCGTGACAAGACTAAAAACGGCTGCGTGGTAGACTAAGTAATACGAGGCTGTTTTTACTCTTATATAAGTTTACGTAATGGTCAAAACTATTTTAAAAAATCGAGGGTATATTAATCTTTATATAGCATCTTTTCCTAGGACTGGCGTTTGCATTTAACAAGTATCCACGCTCCACTATCGATTCCCTTGGCACGCCATACGACTACGGAAGCGTGATGCACTACGAAGATTTCGCTTTTAGCAAAAACAGGCGACCAACCATTGTTGCTAAGCGACAGGGGGTATTAATATTTCTTCCGCAGTTGTAATTTGTGGTAACTTGTTTAATATGCTTTAGGGAGGAACTGTTAGTCGTTAATGTTTCTCAGGGTAAAACTTTTTACATCCTTGCGTACATTTCGCAAAAGAGAGATCCAACTCAGTGAATCTTTGACTGTGTGGGGTACATACAACTATCTTTCCTTTCGTCTGGCGTATTATAGTTTTTTGGTGCACATTGAAAACTGCTTGTGACGATATACAAGGTCCAAACATGTCAAATAGGGAGTTTTCCATGTTAAGTTATCGACATGATAAGCGGAAACAAATTTTGTTACTTCGTAAAAACATGTTGCTTTCTTTCCTTTGATGCTTGACATCTTACAGGATTTTCATTTGTTATAGACCTATTTCCCTGATAAGCCGGTTTTCTGTGCCTTAATTACTTGGTTTTAAGTTTAACATGTTAATTTTTTTTGCTTTTGCTTTCTGTCAATATCAAACCGCCGTTAAAATCTATGATCGCTGATGGCTGAAATACAGTAAAAACGAACCTGAACCTGTTAGGCTAAATTTTGCCAGTCTAAGAACCGGTAATAGGTTATTATCTTTCTTTATTTTCTAAAATGTTTAAAAACATTTTGTACACTTGGTAAATAACTAAAGATAAAAGTGAAGAATGATCATCGCAGTTCACTTTCATCTACTATACCGCAGTTCAAAAAATGAATTATTTCATGTATACTTCACATCATAACTAAAGATAAGTCGATATTCAGGATCCTCTAGGTGCCTTAATACTCCAAATGCAATTGTAATGGTATAAGGGTTTTACTCAAAGGCTGAGCTAAAGTACCACTAAATAATGTTAGCTACAATGTATTTTTTCTTTAGAAAATGAGAACCTATTTAGGAACCTAAATATCCAAAGTTTGTGCTAATAATTCAGGAGAACCTGTTTAGGCTAACTTGGGATAACGCAGGTTCTTAGTCGCGGGTTTTTACTGTATCTGTACATCATTAGGAAGTTCTTTGTTTCAAGAACTCATACGTTTGTCTTTGCTTGGTTCTATTAAGGTTACGCTTGGTAACAGGAAGGGCCCATCTACGATAGATGTAAAGCAGATGAATTTGTTGTACAAGTGTAGTGGAGGAGGTAAGAAGAAATTCATAATTTTTCTAGAAGCATACTTAAATACTTAGTACTTACTTACTTACTTACGTCTGGTGGACGCCTAAAAGACGGCGGGAAGAAAACTGATCCCGTAGGACTCGATCTCTCATACAACTTTCAAGATCTCGAACGTTCTCCACCCAGTATCCCTCAGTAGCGTGTTTATAACGGAGCACCATGGGTAAAAAAATTCCGGTTTGAAATTTCGGAAATTCCACGTGGCAATGGAACGGTCACATTCCGGTTGCACAGACCTGACCCCTGCATAGGCGGCCCAAACTCACGTTACGAGCGAAGGGTGTAATGCCGGTGTCGCGTTACAGGCGACCGTTGAAAACATAAGAGACTCTGAATGAGAAATATATTACTGAGATCTGCGAACGCTAAATAACCCTAAAACTTACTTTTTCTTAAATAAAATGAATTTAAAAAGACTTACCTCCAATGTATTCCACTGCGTCTTTGGTGTCTGTTTGTCGTTTTACTGGTTTTTTGGCTTTATTGCGTAACCACCATTTTGGCGAGTTAAGACCCTTTTTATAGGATTTATGGAGCTTCGTGCTGAGACGGTCGGCTTCAGACTCGCCAGCCTTCCCTTATTTCTCAGTTATTGTTAGTACAACTCAAAATCTTAAACGTCGATAAAACGGCTTCCAAATGGCTCTAGAAGCAAAGAGACAGTAATTAGCAAAACAAAACCACGAAGTGAGTCATTTTTATTTCTATTTTTGTCAAAAAATGGAATTTAGGACGTATTTTGCTATTTTCATTACATTTTCTTAATGTAATTTGTAAACTTGTGGTTTTCTGGCACCAATCAGAAGCCAGAACGGAGGCGACCGTTTGGACTGGTCTGGTAAGACATTGTCCCCAGGGGCTCTTCTCTCCGTTCTTTACTTTTCTTCGTGCCTTATTTTTCCGCCCTTTTAGACTTTCCCTCGCCCCCACTATCTGCCCCTGGGTCTCCGAGGATGCCATGATGAATAACTAGGAAATCTTTTCATTGGTCTCAGTGAGAGATGATTCATGTTTGAATTCTCACATGCGTGCTTTTTTTTCTCTGGTGATGAATTTTGCAGGTTGTGATGATAAGAATGTCAGCTGTCCTAACTGGGCGAAGAAAGGCTACTGCAAGGGCCGATATGAACGCTGGATGTCAACAAACTGTCCAAAAAGCTGCAAAAAATGCTAAGGTCAGCAATTAATGTGATTTCTGAATGAATTGTACAATGAATTTTACTCGTGGGAACATCAGGATTTCTGCATGATCTATCTTTTCTGTCTTTTCCGTTTAATTTAGTGAAGACTTTATCCGCCACAATTACTTCAAACTCATAGCACACGCTCAAGTTATTAGACAATAACCTTGTTTCTTTGAAGAAAAAAATTTAACAATAATAATAATAATAATAATAATAATACACTTTATTTAAAGAGGGTAGCGCGGAATAGTTACATAAACTAGTAAACTTGTGGCCCTCTACAGACACGTTTAAGAGTGCAGCTCTTTGAGCATTTGTTTTTTATTTCCATTCAGGTTGGCAACCGGCACCATAGAGTAAAAGACGATCAGAGTTTCCTCTTGATTTAAAAATTAATGACTTCTTTTTACAGATGAATATTTTCATCTGTTGATAGATTAAACGGAATTAAACAAGCAAAATCAATATTCATAGATTTTATTTGATTTTTATTTATTTCACACAAGGATATCAAAATACACTTCTAGTTTTATGAAGTTCCTCCTTCACCCCTGCTGATCCTGCCCTTTTGCTTTTAAAACTGATCCCAAATGAATGTCAAAAATACTGGTGACTATAATCTGGTTTATTTGTTTGGTGACTCAGCCAGGTGGCCATGACATCTGTCGTCCACCAAGAACGTGGATATGAAGATGATAAACTGACTGGGTAGCATCCCGTCCGTTATTGATGACGACTGAAAGCAAACAGAAAAAACCAGTCAGATCCTTGGTGGGGAAGGGAAACGGGGCACTGTCGTCACGTTTTTCCAAACCTCACTTGGAATTTTCAGTTTATTCTTGTGATTAACCCTTTAATCACTAATATCCACATATGAATTCTCCAGACTGATCTCCATACATTTCCTTAAAGAATTAGATGAGAGAATATGATAAGAGATTTAAGCATCTTTCAGCACAGGTAGTCAGGTGGCTAAAGGCTCAGATCTATACAGAGTGGACAAAAGCACCAAACTTTGCATGGTTGTAGCTTAGGGTATGTTAGTCAATATTAGGATCGGTGCCCACAGCTACCTCTTCAGGATTTGCAGCAACAGCTCGCTGAAGTTCTTCAACAACCTTCCATGATGGGTGCCCTGTGCCGAAAATTGGAATCACTTGTTTTTTGCCATTTTTTGATGTAAATCACATAAAAAGGGAAGTAGATGGAAAAAGAAACTGTATTAATACTATTATTATTGAAACCAATGACTAAAGCAAGTCAACTTAATGATATAGCAATTA